GAATTCCCTGTACACAATCCGATTGGATTTCGGATCGGAGTCGGATGCAGTTAACAGTCTCTCGAATCAAACTCGGATTTAAATGAATCTGATCTGAGTCCGATCCGATTATAGGCCTAGCTAGATCACCTCCCTTTTCAAGGAGAGCTAATGCTTGTTGGATATTTTGATTTGACACTACTTCACACATCAAAAGAAGCAAGCTACATTTGAGCTAAGCTTGGAGATAGAAATCTTCTTTTGTTTTCTGATGGTAAAGTAACTTCAAGCCCAAAAACTTATTATCTTGGGTCAGAATAAGTTGAAAATCCCCTTTAGTGTCAATGAATAGAGTTTAGCATTGTTTTTCCCCAATTTGAACCCAATTATAACTAATCGGTAGGTTATCTGGTTAGATGGGTGTAAGTGAAAGTTGTGATAATAGCAAGATTACCACTTAACTAGACCCACTGACATTCCTATCCTAGACATGTAGCTGAAGTGCCACAATTGAATGAGTTGTTGGTTTGTCTTTTTTATGAGGTTTATGTTGTACATAAATTGGAGTTTTGCTCTTTCCAATTAGCTAGCTAACTATTCACTTTGTCAATCGAAATTGGTATGGACTATGGATATGTACAATAAATTCTTTTATTATATAGGGAGAATGTTTTCTATTTAGCTAGGTACAATTAACATTATATGGTTTGATAGGTATGACAAATGTATTGATGAACCGCGATCTGGCAGCTCTCTACTAGAAGGTGGTTTGAATGTCAAATTGGCTAGTTCATCGGATCGACATGTAAAAAGACAGTGTCAGAGTGCCTGGGTTGCTTTACTCGGGTGGGCACTCCGATGCTTAAGTTAGCGAATTGGAGAGATTTGAGAGAGCTAAAAGTAAGAGAACTAGAGAGCTGTGAGAACTAAATTGCGCATGTACCTTGTGAGGTTGGAGGTGAGGCCTATATATAGGTGTTGTTTGGCGTGGGCTTCACGCACCACGTCCGAAATCTCCGGGAAGACGTGGCTAGCCGGTCCAAAGTCCTCGGAGGTAGTGGCGCACGTAGATTAGGCTTTATGCCTTATTTGGTTTCCTCCGAAACATTCGGTGCGGGAACTGACTTCCGGAAGACTTGGAAGTGATGGGATGTACACAGAGGAGGTTGGCGAGCATGCCTTGTAGGTCGTCGCTTATACCCTACTTAGCTCGGCTGATCTCCAAAGGAGGTCACTCCTTAAGTGGAGGTCCTTTAGGTCGGGCAGGCCGAGGTACTTTAGGTCGGGCATAGGCGAGGTGCTACTAGCCGACCTACTGGGGTGATCTGCTTACTCAATGTTGAGGTGTTACTTGGATGCCATGTGTCTTTGGAGGTAGGTCTCCAGGTCTCCAGTAGGTCTCCAAAGGTAGGTCGCCATGTCGGCGAAGGTAGGTCCCCAGTAGGTCTCTGGAGGTAGGTCACCAGGTCTCCAATAGGTCTTTAGAGGTAGGTCTCCAGGTCTCTAGTAAGTCTCTGGAGGTAGGTTTCCACGTCTCTAGTAGTAGGTCTCTGGAGGTAGGTCACCAGGTCTCCAATAGGTCTTTGGAGGTAGGTCCCCAGGTCTTTAGTAGGTCTCTGGAGGTAGGTTTCCAAGTCTTTAGTAGTAGGTCTCTGGAAGTAGGTCACTAGGTCTCTAGTAGGTTTCTGGAGGTAGGTCTCCAGGTCTCTAGTAGGTCTCTGGAGGTAGGTTTCCAAGTCTCTAGTAGTAGGTCTCTGGAGGTAGGTCTCCATTATTTTGGCTAAGGCAAGTCATCACCTACGTGGTGTCGGGGTGTCATCTAGCTGTTTTGAGATGCCATCTGTCATGATGTCAGTGGAGGGCCAAATCTGCCCTCATCAATTGCCCCCACTCCCGAGCTGAGGTCAGCTTGGCGAAGGGAGTAGCTTGTTGTAGGTCCTTTGGCCCGAAGTGACTAGTTCGATGAGCTCATAAGTATCGGCCCAGGTCAGCAAAGCAGTTATAATTTCAGCTATCAAAATGATGCCGAGCTGAATAGATGGGGGTCGACCAGCTTAGGTCATCCTACCTGTTACAAAGACATTTTGAGGTTGGCTTATGGGGGGGTCTTGATGCTGAAAGTGGTTTAGCTTCCCCTCATGATACATGTGTCACTGTTGGCATTTGAATAGCAAGTTAGTGCCACGGCTGCACTATGTTAGTCCCCGAAGGTGCTGGTCGTCTAATCCTACGATAAGCCATTGGAACCTCAACCTGCGGGGGTAGCTCTACTAACTGCAGGTTACCAACTCGCATGGGAACCTTGAAAGGCTCGACCCACAAGGGCGACTACAGTTCGTTGGCCGCTGACTCCCGCGGGAGCCGCAAAGGGCTCAACTTGTAGGGGAGACCTCACGAATAGGGCTAACGAGGCTCGTCCAGGCTTGCTCAATCAGGTCACCAAAGTGAGTCTTCGTTAGGTCGTTGAAATTTTAACAATCTGGTTTGCTCTCAGCACATCAGCCTACAGACACCTCGTCACCTCGATAGGGCTGATCTGCGAGGGTGGTTCCACAACTTGCTGGCCATCAACTCTCACATAGAGCATGGAGGGCTCGACCTGCGGGGTGGCCTCACAATTTGTTGGCTATCAACTCCCATGGGAACCATGGAGGGCTTGACCTGCGAGGGTGGCCTCGTAGTTAGGGAGATTCTATACAGGAAAAACTACAAGAACTTGTCTAGGCTAATCATTTTGATTCTACCCTCCAGGGGATTCCTTCGATCCAGGCGTTAATATTTTTTGCTTGAGGATGCCATTACTTGAGGCTCAGAGAACGGGTGAGAACTTAGCTTTTGTGTTGGTTTCCCACAGACGATGCCAATTAATGATGCACAATTTGGCAGCTCCCCTACTGGCTGATGACTCAAAAGTTGATTTGGATGGTTCCCTTGTTTAGGTTGAGCTGGAGATGTCCGAGCAATATAACAGAGAGCTGTGTAATTTTTTGAGTTAGCCGAGTTGTGCTGGGCTGAGCTGTTTTTGTTTTACAAGAAAGACAGAGTTAGAGTGTCTGGGTGTCTTTACCCGGGGAGGGAACTCTGATGCTTAAGTCAAAAAGTGTTTTGAAAGTATTTTATAAAGTGAGAGAGCTCGAGAGCTTATAATCGTGCATACCTTCTCTCAAGAAAATGGTGCCTTTATATAGGTGTGTGGGATTAGAGACCTCCTGTAACGGGTTCCATCTTCTCGCGGAGTTGTTTCCGCATAGTTAGCTGAGTTACTACGTCGGTTACGTGATCTGCACTGGCATTACGGCTCGCCCGGATAACTCTGGCGCAGGCAGGTCGGCCTAACGATCGAGCGTTATTACTCTAGAGAACTTGGTCTTGATAACAAATCTATGTAATAGGTCGGCGAGCATGCCTTGTAGGTCGTCACTTATACCCTACTTAGCTCGGCTGATAGTGGAGGGCCAAATCTTCCCTCATCATGTATAATTATGAAGAATAATAAAAATGAATAAAATTATAATACAAAATATGTAGATATGATTATCTTGGCATTCTCTTCGGTATAGGGATCTCAATGGGTCGGGTTTGACCCAATGGACCTAAACTGATTGGGCTGGTTCTAGTTCCAAGATTTGGTACCAATGGGTCAGTTCCAGTTCCTGACCTATTGTCTTGATTATTATTGGTTGAGAACCAATTCTACCCAGTCCCAAACTGCCTCAGACTTGACTCAAGCCTTATATATATAT